TCTGACCATTTATGTTCAGCATAAAAACCAAAGGCAGCACAGAGAAGCCGTCATCTCTAACATATGAGGGATCTGTGGCTACAATATCATTAGATAAATTAATAACTGATTCATTGATTCAATAATGACTGGTGAAAAGAGTGATGTTAAAAAAATCTATGAACCATATTAAAAATCCCTCTGATCACATGGAGTAACTGGAGGGATTAATTGGACATTTCTATGTTGAACTTTCTAGGTGTGCAGGGATTCACCTCCAAACTTATTCACCCTCTGACTGATTCCACTATCTGAAACGAGGCCCAGGAAGCAGCTGCCTAAACCGCGCTGCGCCTGTACTGTAAACAAACGCCCACTTTTTCTCATGACGGAGGGCGGAGAGTAAAGAGCAGCTGTTTCTTTAAGCAGCTAATCTGCTCAGAACCGCAGCCTCTCTGTTAAGCTAACATCTAGGTAATGAATATCTGTGTTTAGCTTCCAGAGGCCTGGCCTTTATTCAGCCTTTAGAAGTGATGAGATACGATGACATCATGGAAAGGGTGGGACCCAGAGCAGAGATCCCAATACTGAAGACGATTGTAGATCAGCTATCAATTAAAATGGTCCTGATCTGTAGGGGCAGATCTATTCATTGTAGTTCTATAATACATGTATCCCAATAAATCCAGTCAGTTTAAACCCAGTATATGTACCCCATTAACACCATCTACTGTGACCTCTGACCTTATGAGCTAAGGCTTCATTTTCTGACCTCCCACTGATCTAGAGCCATTTTCTAGGACAGACGTGTGTTTGTTTACTGCTTATAGAGAGGAGGTGATGACAGCCAGCAGAGCTCTGGTATCAGAGAAGAATCCGGTGTTCTCTTTGCAGCGCCTGGACAGAGCTCTGCTAACATCTCCACAGTGCAGGGAAAGGATATCAGCTGAGATGTCGAAGGTGAGGAACCCCAGGTCGCTTCGCTCTCTGGGTCCTGTGAAGTCATCGACATTCTTCCTGTAAAGAGAAGATGATCACTGAGGGAAAGTGGAGCTTATTTCACAAAATCACTTCTGGAGCCGGACGTCATCCAAACACTCAGAGTTTCTGAAAGGAAACATTTTCAGGTTGCTGACGTCTTACGCATGCGTATTGATTATGGGTATGCTGGTCTGACAGTAAAGCTCCTGGACCTGAATGTCCAGCGTGGGTCTAGATGCTTTGATGCAGCATAGATGGAAAGAAGAAGCTTTTTTAGAGACAAAGAAGAAGCAGCAAACCTGCAGTGCAGGAAATAAACCAAGCAGGTGAACAGACTCTGCTTCAGCAGGCAGGTTTCCATCTGTTTGGGTTTAGATATTAGTGATGGTCAGGTGGGCACTGGAAAATCATCCCCACAGCATGATGCAGCCACTTCCATGCAAGTAGGGTCCAGATGGTTGTGGAAATGGTGAATAAATGTGCTTAAAGCAGCAGGTAAATTTGGATTTTCTATGAAACAAAGTTTAAATCTAGAGAGAAAAGAACCGCCCAGGTCCTCCCAGGTCTCTGACAGCAGAGCACCATCAGGTGAGCCTCGGTCTCTGAAGCAGCTGGGAAGCATCAGCAGGCGGCAGAACAGGAAGGAAGCAGCCAGAAACAGCAGCTATGAATCAAACTCTTACAGCATCACTTTGGAGACGTGGATGTCCACAGGAACCCTTCTGTCTTTGAAGGCTGTGGTGACGAAGCAGCCGAAGGTCAGAGCCGCCATGACGCTCAGGGAGAAGGCGAACAGCGAGTTCGCTCTGGACAGAACCGTGTTCATCTTTCAGCAGGCAGCAGGAGCTCACAGGAGGCAATAATGGAGACCAGCAGGAACAGGAAATGCTCCCCGGAAATGCTCCGACACTTCCGGTTTACAGAGACCGTCGTGTTTAAAACAAATTACGATTTAATCCAATCATCTGTTCCGTACAGACTGTCTATGGTGTTACTTTACTGGTGCATAATGTTTGGGGTTAACTGGTTGAACTGGTTTTATCGCATGTTTTCTGTAGATGTTCAGATGTAAAGATGAATAAGCGCTCAGTCTTTCTTCCCTTTCAAACCGTGGGGGAACCATTCTAATGAAGCACTACCGCCCCCTGCTGACTGACGGAACTACTACAGTTTCCCATCAGCAATAAATAAACCAGGTTCACCAAAGTTCATTTATTGTTTTATTCTATGACGGCTTTGAGGCAAACCTCTGTAGATTATGGCGTCTAGATGCGCCACAAACTTTAATCAGTTCAATTTAGTCTTTTTAATTTCTACCTATTTTATTGTAATTACTCATAATCTCCAGATCTAAAACAACTAAGAAAATAATACCGTAATTACTCTATGTAATACAATAAGTTATTGGTATAAATCAATATTAAACTACATGCTAACTGATGGCAGCATATTTTTTATTATTATTTTATTCTATTTATGTATTTTTAAGGCAGTATAATCAGATCTAATCAAACATCTCTCAGATACTTTTACATAGTTATAAAAAGTGTTTATTTTTTAGCTTAAAGATTTGACACTTGCCAAAAATGTTGTAAACACCAGTGTGTGTTCTGTGGTTTGTTGAGAATCACTTAGTTTCTTTTATTTGTGTGTTTTTGATCAGTCTATAGAAATGTTCACTATAATAAGCAATCATCTTTAATTGTGTCACTCATCAGCTGTTACTCTGTGAATGCATTGTATTATTGGTAAAATGGCATTTAAGTGACTTATAGTTACGGACAGTGACTTAGTTCAGGTCTGTTTGTTTATATGGTGTCAATTCAAAACCCAATATTTTTAAGGCTTTTTAAAATCAAATCATTTTAAACTGTATTTATAAAGCACACTATCATGCCACTGGTAACACAAATAGCTTTACATTGTTGGCAAATTTAAACAAATGCATGTCTACTTTGTAAATTGATTTGGATAAAAGCATCTGCTGAATGCATAAGCAT